ATCTGGGTGAGTTGTCTCTTACGCCTGCTACGGCCTTGGCCTCGGATGCAGTCATCCATGTTGTCGATGATGCTGAAGCTGATGCTGCCGCTGCTGCTGCTCTTGCTGCTGCTACGGGGCCTCTTCCTCTTCCTGATGCCAAACGCTCGCGCCGTGCTGGGGCTGGTGAGGCCCTGCCTGCATTCGGAGTTCCCCCACATGTGCCGAGCTATGACATTGCTCGTGAAGATGCCTCTGAGGAAGGCCCTCTCTTTCGCGGGGCTGGCCCTCCCCTACAGGTCGCCCACCCCCCCCCGGCCAAGGCCCCCACCCGCTCGATGCTGACTGATGAGCCGGTGCCCCCCCCCTGGGTGGTAGCACTGCAAACGAGCATGCAGTCCATGCACTCCAAACAGGATCAGGTGGCGGGGTCGGTTGAACAACTGGGCAGGGAACTGGGAGTGCAAGCTAAACGCCTGGATGTCCTTCGGGGCACGGTCGAGGAGCACGCAAGACAGCACCGTGACTCGCAAGAGCGTATTCAAGCACTTGAGGCCCAGGTCCAGCAGTCTGTTACGCTTTCACAACTTCAGGACATTGAAGCTCAGATGAGAGATCTAAGGGACCTTGAGACCCGACTCCGGGAGCTCCAGGACCAGGTTAATCACCTGACTGTGTCAGGGCCCCAGACCCCCCGCATGAACGGCTCCCCCAAGGACATTGAAGCCGAGCTACAGGTGGTAGTAGGGGGCTGGTCGGAGGCTCCCCGCTATGCTGCCGAAAGGGAGGTCAGATCTCTCTTCCACGAATGTGGGGTCTATGACGCGCTAGCAGATCTTTGGGCTCCTGGGCAACGCACTAACTTTGTACGTGCAACCCTTCGCTTTCCCTCTGACTGTAAGTCCCTCCCCGCCAAGCGTAACTACCAAATAGACATCCTCAAGCGCCTGAAACAGGATCGATGGACGAGTGCTGTGGAGGGGTCTAAGGGCAGCTTTCTCTGGGTGTCGCGTCATCGCACGCTTGAGGAGAGGCACAAGATCAGGGCTATTCTGCAGTGCAAGGATTTCTACGACGCCATCAGGCGAAAGATGCCGGAGAAGGCGATCCCTCAGCCGGAATTTGACTGGCGGGGGAAGGTTTTTGTGGGCAGGCATCAGATGCTTCTTGCCCCGTCCCCAGGACCTTCCCACTCCCCCCCCACAGCCCACGACCTTGCCCTGACCGACGCTCGGGGTGGCTACACCGGATGGGCTGTCTCGGCTGCCAGGTTCGCTCTCGTGTCGGGGCTCAATGAGGCTGACCTCTTTGCTGCCTGGCAGGAGCGTGGGCCTCTTTCGGGCAAGGACCGCTCGTGACACTCACAGGCCCCCTTGAGCCCCGGTCGTGTCTCCATGCTGACTTGGAATGTTCAGGGTAAGTCGCTTGAGCACCTTCCGCAGGTGTGGGATCTGACAGGGGCTGAAGGGTGAAATTTTTCGGACTTCAGGAACTGGGAGGTCTTGCAGGGCTGGGTCCTTCTGACTGGGTCCTGGAGGAATGCCACCTGGCGAATAAGTCCTACTCAGTTTTCTGTGCATCGCCACCTGATTGCTTCCGCGGGACAGCTGTTGCTATCCCTACTGCACGTATGGTTGATTTGCATTCGGTGCATGTACTGTCGGCTGGTATCCTCGTTGTGCTTCGGAATTCGAAGTCCCGTGAATTTGTGTGCACGCTGCATCTGCCACACTCTCAACGTGATGACTGCATGCATGTTTGGGCTCATCAATTTGATTCTTTGCGTGAATTCCTGCATGATATTCAGTCTGCTGACTCTCTCCTTCTTGCATGTGACTTGAATTATGAATTTGTGCATGTCTCCCCCCAAACCCAAGACTACAGAGGTCTGTTGCTTCAGCTTTTTTTGAGGGACTTTCAACTTTCCTCCACCTTGCCGCAGGAGTGCACGTGGTCGAACACTCGTGGGTCCTCTAGTCGCATAGATTATGTGCTCTTTCGTGTGCCGGAAATGCTTTGCTACGATGAGCGTGTGCATAGGGACTCAGCTGCGATCCTTAGTTCGGACCATAAGGCTTGTAGTGCCCATATTTCCTTCCTGCGCGTCAAAAAGTCCCGCCGAGCCTATGTGGCCACCAAATGTGGCAAATGGAAACTCCAAGTGCCCAGCTCAGTGAAAGCCTGTGCGGACCTTGCTGCCGCCCTGAAATCCAGGTCGGACGCTGTTCTGACTCCCCAGGACTGGCAAGGGCTGGCGTCGCAGTGCTCTGTCAGACACACTCCCTCTAGATATCGAGACCCCCCGCATGTTCTGGAGATCATCGCCGCCCGTCGACAAGCAACGGATCGGGAAGACCAGCGTGCCCTGGCGCTGGAGGTGGTCCATGCCCGAGCTGTGGCCAAGAAGGAATGGAGGACCCGGCTTCTTGAAAGGGCGGCTTCGGGGGACTTTGTGGCCATCACATACTTCCGTAGGCGCCAGTCTACGCAGGCTAGTCGCGGTCTTTTTGCTGCTCGCATGGGTGTGGGGACAGCAGGCGGTGTCGGCCTTGAAGGCGCATTTCTATGCCAAGTACACCCCTGTTGACCTGCACCCACCTGACTTGGCGGTGAACATGCTCAGATCCAAGTACAGAGTGATTCCGCAACCAAACCCCTTTACTAGGGATGAGATTGCTTCGGTCTTGGAGACCTTCAAGAATGGCAAAAGCACGGGCACGGATGGAGTGTCCTATGAGCTCCTCAAGGTTGCCATGCAAACGGACTTGGGGGCTTCTTTTGTCTCTGAGCTCAATAGATACCTGGAGGGCAAGGTGCCCTTTCCTGCTGACTGGCTATCGGCCCACATGACACTGCTCCCGAAGGTCCGGGCCCCGAGTGTCCCGTCCCAGCTCCGACCCATCGTTTTGTCGCCGGCTTCGTGTAAACTTTTCACTAAGGCACTCTTGCTGCGGCTCCGCCCTCAGTTCCCCCCTCTTGGGGGTGGTCAGGTCCTAGGTCAGTCTGGGGGCCAGGTTATGGATGCGGTCTGCGTGGCTAAGCATATCATGCATCTGTCGGCGGAATGGAAACGGCCTCTTATTCTAGCTAAGCTCGACGTTAGTCAGGCTTTTGACACTTTGTCGCATCCGGCTGTTGCGTCCCTCCTGGCGGACATGCCGGCGTCGGGAGAAGCGATGACATTGCTGCGCCTGATCACCTCGACGTCCGTCAATATCTCAGTTCTTGGTGCCTCCTGGACGCAGCCCCTGCGTAGGGGGGTCTTGCAGGGAAGCCCGTACGGGGCTGAGATATTTGCACGAGTGCTGGACAGGGCTCTGTCAAGACTCTGTGCTCGCTGGGAGCGCCTTGAATCTACTTGGATCAAGGACTCGTCGGGGAGGCGGCCTCTCTTTAGCATTGCCTACGCTGATGATATTTTGCTGTTCGCTACCTCCCCCTCGCAGCTCTCCAGAATGCTCCGTGACCTCACGGAGGAACTGCAGACTGTTGGGCTTTCACTCTCGCTGACTAAGTCCCAGTATATCCAATCCCAGGATGAATGGCCCAGCTTGGAGGACGCCGTTGAACTCCCGCTGACTAAGGTCTCCTCCTTTGTGTACCTGGGGGTTCTGCTAGGTTTTGCGGTCACGTGTCAGGCTACTTTAGCTGCCAGGATCATTCAGGCCACGAACTCGATTTATGCATATGTGTCTTTTCTGACCCATAGTGCCTCAACTGTGGCTAGGCGTCTGGCTCTTTTGTCTGCCTTTGTCACGAGTAGATGGAGATGGATGTCGGCAGCGGTCCGTCCTGTTGCTGCGGTCTCGAAGCTGCTCCGCACGACGCACACTAATTTCCTCCTGTCGATGCTTCGACCTGTTCGTGACCCACTTCAGGGGGTTACTGACTCTTGGATAGCTGCCCGTCGGGCGGCTCGCATGTGCGCGCAGGCGTGCCACCAGCTTCCATGGGAACATATACAGGCGTCTGCCTTTTTTAGTTACTGGGGACACGCTGCTAGGTTTCCTTACGCCCAGGCCCGCCCCCTCACTAAGGCCCTTGAAGTTCGGAGTGTTCGCTGGCTCCTCGTCCACCAAGGCCGCACTAGACGTGCGCTGGGCAACTGGCCCAATGCGGCTAGGCTGCTCACTCTTGCATGGCAGGACCATAGACAACCGTGGGAGCCGCTCTTCTGGGATCAGGTTGCTCGGGATCGTGCCAGGTGGGGAACCTTCACTCGTGATTGGCTAAACTCCAAAGGGTTGGGGGGAACCTTCTACCCTTGCCTTGAGGATGTTGACCTTAGGGGGAGGAAGCTCCTACACTCGGGGGACCTGTTCTCCCTCCTCCCGCTGAGACATCCGCCGGTAGAGGAGCCTTATGATGCTGCGTACGAACATGTCCCCCGTTTCCAGGATGACACGGAACAGGCCCAGCTCAGGGTGGCCACTGATGGGAGCTCTTTTCGGGGTATTGGAGGGGTGGGGGTGTGCATTCTCCCCCCCTACGGGGACATTCTTCAGGACGCAGTTATCATTCAGGCAGCAGTGCCTGGACGCGCTACGAACATCAGGGCTGAGATCCTGGCTGCGACTCAGGGACTTAAGGCGGTTCGCACTCTACTGCAACTCTTCCCGCAGTCATCGTTCCTACTGCAAACAGACTCCATGCATGTTGTGCAAACCCTACAGTCCTCCATCAGCACGGTCAAGCACGCACAAGATGTGTCTCAGCTTTTGTTGTTGTGGCAGGAGGTTCGACATGCGTGTTTGGTGATGCACGTTAAAGCCCATCACGGTCACCCGCTCAATGAGGTTGCCGATATTGCGGCCAAGCAAGCTGTGCTCTTCCAACACATGCAAGTTCTAACTAGACGCCCAGACTACTCTTGTGCTGTGTTTTCTGCGCCTGGTGCAGAGCTGCCACCGCTGCATGTCTGGTAGATCTGACGCGAGGAGGGGGGGGGCAGGACGGGCAGTGAAATGTAGCCTTTTTGCTTCAACAACCCCTACAGCGCCTAATTGTCACTCTCCGCAGCCATGGACATGGGACCCTTCGCGCTGGAGGCCATCTCGCTTCGTGTTGCGGGCGAGGCACTGCTCCGACCTTTGGTTGGTGATGATGGGCTGTATACAGTGGCGGCTATCCTGCTCGCCTGTCTTGGCGTGGGGATACTTTGTGGCTTGGCCTGCAAGGCTCGCTCCCCTGGCCGCCTGGCTGCTACGGGACGCCAGCTACCTACCCCAGGACCCTCCTCTATGCCTTCGAGTGCCCCCCAGCCGACGGATTACGTCAAGTTGGAGGACCTGCATGAATTCCGCAAGCTGTGGGAGTCTGATATGCGTGACCTCCATGCCAAGCTGGAAAAGCACCACGGGGTGACTCGTCAGCTCCAGGATGAACATGCTGAGGTGCTTGGGCAACGCATTGGGGTCATGGAAGGCAAGATCAATGGGCTTCGTACAGACCTGGGCACGTGCAACACTGAGATCTCGGCCTGCAAGTCGAGGGTCATGGAAAGCAAGGCGCAGCTCAGTGAGAGCCACAGGGACGTGCTCAAGTACCTGGATGAGGCGGAGCAGCGCCAGCAAACCCTGATGCCTGTCCAAGGAAGTGGCCTCCCTCTCCAAGGATCATGCTATGTCCGGCAAAAATGTGGCTCTGATCTTCGCTGAGGTCAAGGCCCTCCGTGCGACCTCTGGGGAGCTCAAGGGTGAGCACAGCGCTATCCAAACGGTGCTGCACGAGATGAGCAAGGAGATGGTGGAAGCCAGGCGCGAAGTGGCCAACGTCACCAAGGAGGTCGGTCATCTCTGGGGGCTCACGGAGAGGTTCACCAACTTGGATCGGGAGCTCGAGTCCATGGGAACGGCGCTCACTGAGTGCACGGGGGTCATGGGTACCAACTTCAATACCTACCAGAGCATGGTTGACAACATCCGCAACGGCATCTACGAGTGCCTGGACCGCATAGCGGTGCTGACACCGCCGGGCCGTGGTCAGCCATCTATGGAAGCCCCGACGATCCGCATTGAACCTGCAGCCTCGGGGGCCCGCCCTCTCAGCCTTCAACAGGCCATTCCGCAGGCGGGCCACCCCCAAAGCCCCCAGATCACCGTGGTTGGCCCGGGCGAAAACTTCATCCGAGCTCTACTGAATCCTACGCACCATGGTTGATCGCATCCATGAAACCGAAGATGGGTTCCCCCCCCCCCCTTGATACTAGTCTACAGTTTTGGAGGGACCCTCGTATTTATTTTCTACTCCCTGCTGTATTTCGCTAGGGGGCACCCGTCATCTCACTTGCCAGTGGCTGATGTAGGAGACCCCCCCCTCCCCCATGCATGTTTTGCCTCTTGGCATGTTCTGCCTTTTGCACTGGCCCAAAGGGCTGAATTTGTGAATACAAGAATACCAGAATGCTTGAATTCTCTAATTCACTAATTCACTAATTTGGAGTGGGAATTCGCTAATTCACTAATTGAGAGATGGAATTCGTCTGAGCTTATGAATTTACTTGAATTCGTGAATGTCAACATCTGAGTATGTCTTGCATGATAAATTTGGAATTCGTCTGTACTAACGGCATCGCTGAATTTGGGAATTACGAACCTGGCCTGGATGCCTGCTGTGCATGCCCCCCCCCCCCCCCCCCCCCCCCCCTCCTCCACACCTCCCCTCCCCCCACATACTTTGCACCCTAAGCCCTGAATGCATGGAGCCCTGAATGCATGACTGCATCCCACTGTGGGGGAGTGTACATACCGTAGCGGGGGACTCGCCGGCTGAACTGTCAACACGCACAAAAATGGTGGGCAGATGCTGGTGCTGGGCAATGTTTTGTTTGGTCTAGGCAGTCACAGTTCCTGCATGTTGCATGTCTGCCTTGCCCTCAGTGCCTAGACTGCATTGGTGTGTGTGCATGCGAAGCTCAAGAAGAACACTGACTGCGTGCTAGGCAGACCCCGGGGCACTAACCTTCTCGGGCCGTCCTATCCCCTAGCCCTCGATTGATGAGCCGGTTACAAAGGGTGGAGGATGCGGAAAGTCAGGCATTTCGACTGTTGTCCACTGACGCTCCCCTGAGGCCTGAGGATATCCTGGGGGTTTATGACTTGATACCGACGCAGGCGATGCAGGGGCCCACCAGATATCGCTGCCTCCTGACGGGGGCCAATCCACGCACTCCCAAAAGGCCCCTCCGGAATCTTTTTGACCTCCCATGTGTGTCCCAACTCCTCTCGGTTTGTTCGCCATAAGGCGCCCGGGATCCCCTTCTCAGGCATCATGGTACGCACGGGGGTACCGAGGGGGGCCCATGTGGATTCGCAGAACGCCCATGTCCCCAATGTTGTTGTGGGGCTCACTAGTCATGCGCATGGTGGGGGCACGTGGCTGCGAGATGTGGGGGGCACGGACTCGTTCACGCTGGACACAGGGGTGCGAATGCAGGGAACGGTGTATGACGCCTATCAAAAGCCCCTCATTTTCACGGCTAGCCGTATCCAGCACGCTGGTATTCCACCGCAACAAAGTGATGCCCGCAGAGTGATTCTGGTTGCCTTTTGCACGAAGAATGTGATGAACCTTGCTGTACATGTGCGTAGCCTGATGCTTTCGCATGGTTTCTGCCTTCCGACTGAGGCCCAGCATGATTTCTATAAGCAGCACCTGATCCGCCCAGGGCAGGGGTACCAGACTACCATCCCACACATCCTGGTGCGATCTCGGGAACTCGCGCCGACCCCACCCTTGGTTGCGCTTGATGCCCTGGGGCTGCGACACGAGGAGGCGATTGAGGTAGCCAGCTCGGATGAAACCGCCGAAGCCCCCCCACCCCCCCGTGATGACCCCCATGAGGTTAACATCGGCCGGGGCCTCATTGACCCTCCCCCCCCGACGTACGTGCAGAGACTTTTGGAGGACGACGCCAGGGAAGTTGAACAGGAAGTTGTGTGGCTCGAAAACCCAGGCTCGCAGCCCCCTCCTCACGTCCGAAGGATGAAACGAGGGAGATCCTCCTGGGACTTGGACACAGCCTGCTAAGGACACGGGCCTGCTAAGGACATGGACCGGCTGCTCTGGCGTGTGCAATACACGTCTCGGCCCCTGACATGCTTCCTCTTGCTCCACTCATTGGTTTTGCTTAAGGGCCCCGCCCTATCCGTGGTGATGCGCATATCTTGCATGGCTTCGTCTTGCATGATCTTGTCTGTCTGCTGCCACGGAATGCACTGCCTACATGGCTGTATGGACGGTGCGCGCCCCCCTCCCACCCTCCCCCGGTGCACGCCCGTACCCCCGCATGCATGCATCGCTCAGACCGTGCAAGCGTGTACGCGTACCTTGCGGCCCATATGCATGTTACTGTTAACTGCACCTTTGCATGCCTGTATTCACTGTGCGCGCCCCCCTCCCACCCCCCCCCGGTGCACGCCCGTTTGCCCGTCGCGCACGCATGCGTCGCTCTTGTCATGCAAGTACGTACTCTTTGCTAGCCAACTGCTGCTCGCCCTGGCCACCACAGCCCCCCCCCCCCCTTGGACTGGCCGGCTCGTCACCAAAAACTGTAACTATGGGTATGCCCCTAGCCCCTATTCGGTCTACCCTACTCCCCTTGAGGCCTCCTACCTCTATGACCCGAAGTGTTAAGTTAATTCCATAGTGTGACACGACAGCCATGGCGGCGACTCCGAGCTCAGTTCTGCACCCTGCCCAGTGCACATATGGTCCTGTCTTCTCTGGTGGCCTGGATGAACTGGCTTTGGCAAGGCAGATATGCATGCTGCAAGTGGTTGGCTCTGCACCCCGCCAAGTACGGATATGGACCTGTCTCTTTTGTGGCCTGGATGGACCAGACTTGGCAGTGCGACAGCACTTGGGCGAGCCGTGCATGCATACTGAACTGGGCCCAGCTATGTCCGACGGGCTGGAACTGCTGAGGCACCTTCTACACTGGCGACATTGGGTGCAGGTGTGGCAAGGCGATGCCATGAGCAGGATGGCCTCCACTACCGTGGCGTGCCATACAACAAGGCCCTATGAATCGTGACTATCTGGCCAGACTGCGGCGACTGGTGAATGGTGGTGTGCCATCCCCTCCCCGAGCTGGTGTGCAGACGGCAATGCCTCCTCCTGCAGCAGCTCTACTTTGTGAGGCCCACGGAGCCGTTGCCTAGAGGGAGGTCCCATCGTGGACAGACTGTCGGAAGGCAGCCACGAGGAACCCTCATGCCGGGGCGCCATGGGGGCGATGCAACCTGCCGGCAGTGACCTGCCCCTACGCTGGAGTGAGCCAAGACAAGGGAACATGCCCGCCTAAGGGAGAGTCTAAGCTGCCCTGAACTTGTAGCGATGTCACTTGCCACAGGCGTGCTCAGATCCCAACTAACGGCTAGCGCTGGACTCTTCCTGCCCGAGTACTGTACAGATGCGCCGTCCTAGGTCTGCATGAAGTGAGTGCAGGAGGGCATGCGCCCACCTATGGGAGAGTCCTGGCTGCCCCACCCTGTAACGTAACTATCGGCCACAGGCGTGCCCATATCCCAAAAGGTAGATGGTAGTGGACTCTTCCCGCCCGAATACAATATCGTTGCATGTGCCCTATGTATGCATGGATGCATGTGCATGTCTGAATTTAACAAAACCCCCTGCCGCACCGCATGTGCGCTGCATGTTTGCATGTCTTGCACGCCGCCTCAATGCATGACTCACTGTATAGATTGCATGTCCTTTTGCTAGCGGTCTGTTTCGACGCCTGCACGTTCATGGGGGGGGTGGGCCTGAACCCGATTCCACCGGCCACAGGCGTGCACACATGTCAGTACCTTCCCTCGCCCCCCTAGGACGTGCTGCCGAGAATTTAGGAGCCCATGCATGTGCACTAACGAGCTGGCATCGCCTGCATAGCCAAGACGCGGGCCTGCCAGGCTGACTTGCTTTAGAGCTGTTTGTTGATTACTGGTTGCGTAAGGGGCAATGGGTTGAGTTGGCTGTGAGGGCAAAATCGGTATGTGCAGATGGGTCTACGGGCAGGCCACTTTAACGTCCTGCTGGTAGGATGCCGGGGAGAGGGACAGTCGTCGTGAGTTTTGTGCAGCTTTTGAGAGCTATGTGTGAGCCCCCCCCCCGGCATTGATGTAGGGAACACCCTTTTTCCGATTTCCGGCTGCCTCTAGCCAGGACCGGTGCTTGAAGGAACAGCCAGGTACCGGGGAGGCTACGAGTACGCTGGAGCCGACAAGCCACGCCAACCTTGGCGTGCCCCCATTGGGTCTGTGGGTCTGGTGTTTGTATGGTTGTTGGTTATGCTGGTTGTTGATTCGGATGCTGGGGTTGGTGTGGAACCCTGCGATTTCCTCAACTTGGGCTCTGAAGTCTGTACACAGCATTCCCCCTTCAGTTGCCCCGTGGAGCTTTGCTAGACGGGTGGCAAAAAAACCCTAAACCCTAAACCCTAAACCCTAAACCCTGAGCCGTAGGGCGATTTCCTCGAGGCGAGCCTGAACCTGGCCTTGGGGTTTTAAGTTTTTCTGCAGCTTTTCCTGAGCCGACTTTCGAACCCCGCTGTGCTGTGGCTAGTCGGGTGCCCAAAAAAACCCCTGAGCCCTCGTGTGGCCGAACCTGAGGAACTCGCAGCTCCTTCTCGCGGCTGGGATTTGGAGCGTTCAGGGTCTACTCGTAGGATTTAGAGGTTGGGGCCTGGATGCAAAAGGGTCAGATGGAAACTAAAAAGGTTCTGGGGTTTTTTGTGGCAGCTGAGCAGTCCTGGGTACAAAAAGGGGTTCTTGTGGGAAAAAGGCTGGGGGGTTGGGGGTTTCAGGGGAAAAAAGCTTGTGAGTATTAGTAAGAGGTATTGGGATGTTCCCCCCTATGCATATATATATATCTATATGTATATATATATATATACACATGTATTTAAGAAATACTAAATAAATAGATAGATAGATATATATATATGCATACATACATATATATATATATAATACCCATGTATGTTTGGTGCGCACACACACACACAGACACCTAGGTGGGGGAGCTTGCGGAGTCCAGCCGCGCCCTGGCCTTCACTGCTGCTTCACGAGTCGGGGATCGGATTCGAGGGCTTCTGGGGGTCGCTGAAGCTTCAAGAGCTGAGGTTTGAGGCTTTAGCTTATGGGTTTAGGGTTAGGGGTGGGGTGTAGGGTTTAGGGGTTTAGTGTCAACTTAGCCGGCTGCCTGCCAGAGACCTGGTTGCAAAAAGCAGGGTTTAGGGGTTTAGGGTTAGGGGCTTTAGTGTTTAGGGGTTTAGGGTTTAGGGTTTCAAGCCGTTAGATCAGGTTAGGGTTCAGGGTTCGAACCTATGCTCTTGCGGTCCTTCCCCTTGTCTCGTCCTGGCCAGACTGCGCATCCGCTTGTTTGTTTTCCTGGCACGGGGTGCTCGGTAAGTTCTTCCGCGAGAGGGTTTGGGATTCGGGGTTTCTCGGACCTTCTGGGTTTGGGGCTTAGAGTCTTTGCAGGGGTCGTGAACCTCCAAGCCTAAGTTGGTCCCTTCGGTCCCTTTCTGTGGACCCACCGCCTAGTGGTCAATCACTCAGGCAGCAATGTGCTGACAACTGGCATCTTCATGTATCTTCAGCAAGCTCCCTAGACTTGGGTTTGCTTTCCGGAGGTTTAGGGTTTAGACTTTAGACTTTAGGGTTTGGGACGGCTTCTGCTGGATCCTTCGAAAAGCTCACGTGCCGAAAGCCCGAGCAGTTGCGCGCGAGCCCAGGCGAGTTCCGGCCCCTGCGCCACTTGAATGTTCGCTTTCTCACTGGAAAGCCCGTGCCCCAGCTTCGTGCTCAAGGCTTCGGCTTTTTCTTTTCTTTCCGGCTGTAGGCCCTTGGGGTGGCATACGGTTTCAAAAGCTTTTTCAGATACCTGGGCCCAACCCCGAAACATTCTGTTGGATTTCCAAGCAAGCAGAAAGACCTCTCTGTGTGTGTATGCGAAGGGCCGGCTCAGCCCTTGACCAGGAAGACCATGGACAAACACGCGAAGGATCGACTGGCGTGCTTGCCTCAGGTGCTTCTAGTGTGAAGCCCACAAGCTCAAGGCACGCCTGGAAAATTTCCGGAATTCTGCAAGTTCGGATTCCTGAAGCAGCAGGGTCAGGATGAGCTCACTTAAGAGGTCAAGCAAGCAGCTCTTCCAGAGGCGAACCCCTCAAGCCATCAGCTGCCATAGTCTTTGACCTCGAGCTTCAGTCCTCAGGCAAGTGTGCAAGGCAACCACTTCGTGCCTTCAACTTCCAACCGAACCCCCTGCCATCGCCGAGATACCTTAATTTCATCATACCCACTATTAATAACCCACCTGCCCCCAACCCCTTTGTGCCTGCGGCTGTGCCTTGGCTTCAAAAAGGCAACCCGGAACCCACCGCCCCGAAGGTGCCCCAAAGAGTCCCACTGTCGTTCAGTGCCACAATCTTAAACCCCCCGAAAACCCTGGAAACCTTACAAACACTGGTGCCCCCACAAATGCCCGAAGACCCGACGTCGCCAGCCATGGATGCCCTCGCTGACGCAGCCGCACGAGGCTTTCGGAACTCAGGGCGGCTGGCGAGAGAAGGCAAGGACGGTTGTGGTGGGGCGCAAGAGCTGACCTTCAAAGTAGCCTGTTGCAACAACTCTTGGGGCCATGGGGTCTTGGAAGACTTGGGTTTCAGGTTCGGTGCTTTGATGAAACTCCTGATGTTTGTCCGGTTTGGGGCCATGATATGATGGCGGCAGGGAGGGGGTTGGAACATGTTTTGAGGCGGTGTTTGTCCACGAATTCAAGAGTAGTTTTGCCCCAAGTCGTTCTGAAAACAACCCAGCCGCTTCCCCCTGCTCCCTGAGCGCCTCGACTCAAGCCGAGCTCTTCCTTCGTTTACGGCGAGTACGGAGCCGACAGCCATGGCCCTCAGAGTGCCGGGCCTCGTGGCGCGACCGGAGCTGGCGCAGGCACCGGCCCAGGCGGCCCAGTCCCGTATGGCGCGAGCCGCCCCCACTGCCCACACCGTGCTCGGACACGGGTCTTCCAGGTCTTCCTTCAGCCAGTTTGCCGCCGCAGCCAGCGCGGCTGCGATGCGGGCCCGATGTCGGCGAGGGGCGGCGTCGAAGGACAACATTGCGGCAGCTACGTATCCACAGACCTGGAGCAACCCCACGGGCTCAGTCCTGACGGCCCTCAACACAGACTTGTGGGTGGCCGAGCGGCCGTTCATCTGGAATTCCATCGATGTGGGTGGAAAGATGGCCGTGGTGCGCTTGCCGGACGGGGGCCTGTGGGTGCACTCGCCGGTGGATCTGGATGAGGAGCTACGAAAGGGCTTGGAGCAGCTTGGCCCGGTTCGGCACATCGTCTCCCCGAACTTCGAGCATGTGAAGTGGGCCGCCCAGTGGAAAGGCGCGTTTCCAGACGCCACTCTTTGGGGAACTCCGGGCATGAAGGACAAGTTCCCGAAGATTCCTTTTGACGTCGAGCTACCCAGCGACTCCTCGGCCCCAGCTGAGTGGGGAGGTGCCCTTCTCATGTGCTTTGCCGACTGCGAGCGGACGCCTTTGCTGGGCACGCCTTTCTTCAACGAAGTGATCTTCTACCATGTGCCGAGCGACACACTCATGTGCACGGACATCTTCTGGAATTACCCGTCGGGACTTCCCTCCGGCTCTGCCCTTTGGAAGTTTCTGATGGACAAGATCTACTTGCCCTTCTACAAGCGCTTCATGGTGACGAGCCCGGGCTCTCTGAATGCCGTCTTGGACGCTGTGGCCGAGTGGAAGCCGGAGAAGCTGCTGCCTTGCCATGGCAGGTACGTGCCGAGCGGTGCATGGCAGCAGTTCCGGGGCCACCTTCGTAGCTCGTAGCCAGGACCAGCACCCCTCCCAGCTCATCTTTAACCATTCTAGTAGGGTACATACGCCCCCCCCACAAAACTAGTAGGGTACATAAGCCCCCTTTCTGAAATCCTTTCACCGTTCGAGACTTGGTAGAAGAGGCCTCCGTCCTGCAGCGTGAAGCCATGTTTATCCCAAGTGGGGTCCTCTCAGGTAATCATCTGCAGAGGGCCCCGCGGAGTTGTCGCTGGGCGGATGGCAAAAAGCCCTCAACTGCCCCTATCAGCCCTCTAAGCCCGAACAGGCCGATCCTCATGGCTTTGACCCGCACAGGGGCCATGGTTCTGTTGTTACATGTGTTACATTGCTATCTTATGTTATCTTATGTTATCTTGTCATCCTGTTATCTTGGTAGATGGTTATGTTGCTATGCGCTGTTGCTGGCAGGAGGCTAGGCTGCGGCGGCTGCGGGATGCCGCGGACGTCGATTTGCCGAGCCTTGCATCGGCTCGTGGGGTAAGGATGATCGGGTTGCAGGCCTTAGGTGCATCTAAAGGGTATCTAGGGTATATAAGGGGTATGTATATGTATATATACATATATATATATATATGTATATATAAGGGCCCCCTTTTAATTTAAGGGCCCATCTCTCGTGGGGACGTGGCAGAAGTTCTGCAATGGTTACGACCATGTTACTTTAACCATGCCCAAAACACTGGTATTTGCAGCACCTGTGCAAAGTGTTGTACGATGCTTCAAAAGGATGTGGCAAAACATGTTACTCTAGCCATGCCCAAAACACGGGTATTTGCAGCATTTGTACCTCTTTTATAAGATGCCGAAAAAGGATGTTTGGCATTGCTGGAACAAGATGCACTGTCACAAGTCTTTTGCGAACATGCCCACAACACGGCAATATTGAGCGTTTTTGCCTGTGTGGAGGAACATGGCAGAAGAATGCTTGATGTTTCTACGACGAGAGGTGCTGTCACAAGTGTTCATGCCTTTCGCGTACATCCCAAAATACAGCTACTTGCAGGATTTTTGCCTCTGTCTACCTTTACAATTTCAGGAAAGGGTTTCGACTTTGTGCTGTGAACCCGAAACCCTCCCCTTCCAGGGCATCTGTGTCCCTTCCTTGTCGTGTGCCCTAGATCCCAACCTTGACGAAACTGACCGTGCCCAACTCGATCATCTCTGAACTCCGATCATTCCGACCAATCCGATCCTTACTTCGCCCAAACCACTTAAACCTCGAATCCTGAGCCAGCAAACCTTACTCGGACCAGTAGCCGCTGTAGCCTGTGGCGCCAGGCGTCCGGCCAGAACTCGTAGAGTCGTCCCCTTTCCAATCCCAGGCGCTTGCTTTCGCCGGAGCTCCCAGGCTGGAGGGCCGAGCCGCGCTTCGCGACCTACTTCCTGAGCCGGCCGCTGCGCAGATGATGTGGGTCTAGGGTCTAGGGTCTAGGGGTTAGGGTTTAGGGTTTAGGTGCATGGGTTGTGTATGGTTTGTGCTGTTGCATATGGCCGGGGCTCAGAAGGTCAGGCGGCCTATTTCCCTGCTAGAGCCCAGCCCCAGGCTTCCATCGAAGGATGCCGGGCGCCTGCTGCACGCGATGCGCGCTGGGAAGGTGGGGGTCTCCGTGGATTTTCCTTGAGCCTGTGAGGATGGCCGGAGCGCATGGTTTGTGGGCTTTGAGCCTTAAAATGGGCTCAGGTGCCTGGCCCCCAACAATGTTGGGGACCTGTAGCCCAAAGAGTCTGCTGGCTTGAAAGGTGGAGGCCAACCTGTTCCACTACAACGCCCTGCTCAGCTGCTTGGAGAAGGACCTCCCAGGATGCAACCGCGTGGAGCTGTGGTGCTGGGCTGCGCTAACTTTGGGGGATCAGGTGGAGCTCGCACATATGGGCTTCTCCCAAGTCCCATCCTCCTCTGACCAGGAGAATCTCTGGCGGAAAGCTCTGGGCCTCCTCGCAGCCCTCCCATCCCTGGAGGTGACGGGGGAAACTTGGGTGTTGAGGTTGGGGTTGCGGCGCAGGTGTTGTTCATGGAGGTTGCCCTCGGCCCTCCTGGACCTGCTCCTCAGGTTGATCCCAATGTGGTCTCGCACAACACCGCCCTGCAATGCCTGAGGTGCTCAGGGGGCGGGTCTGCCAGTTCAAGGGCTTAGGCGCAGAGTAGACCAGACGAGCTCCCTATAGAAACCATGAAACCGTTAATGAAACCTCATCAATAGCCCTTAGGCCCTAAACTTTCTCAAGCACCAAACTCTCTCTAAACCTGACACTGGCAGAATTACGGATCGATCCAGCCACCTTTCAGCCACAATGCTGCGAGTGTGGAGAGCTTCTGGCACGGAGGGGGCCGTGATATGAAGGAGGTGACCGACGGCACTTGAGCCACTTGACACATGTTTTTTTTTTCCTGCTGTTGCCATTGGGATTCTAAGTTTCTAAGAATCATGAGCCTTCAGCCCTAAACCCGAAACCTTGAGCCTTAGCGTTAGGCCCCAAGGGCGGGTGGGCAAAACAGCCTCAAGGTGCACGGGCACCTGGGTCCTGGCAGCTCACCTCCTCGCACGCGGCGACGTGCCCGGCCCAGGGTTTGGGGTTGAGGGTTCTCGAAAAATGGGTTTGGGAGGGGGTATTAGGGTTAATAGGGTTCAGGGATGCAGAAAGGGCTATGGGACGTAGTTTTCGGGGGTAAGGTAGACAGGTGTAGGGGTTTGGGGTGTGTCCGGGTTCCAAATGTAGTCCAAACACTCCTTGAGGAATTTTGGCCGCCCCGCCCCTGGCCTCGTGAAAGCATGCCCTAAACCTCCAGTTTCCCCCCTGCCCCAAAGAGTCTAAATCCTCAGCACCCTGCATCTTCAAGCCAACACCCTTAACTTAACCCCAAGCACCCAAAGCCGCTTGAAAACATCCACCCCGAGAACCAACCTGCAACGGAAACCGCAAGGCCCAACAAGCCCCAAACCCCTCAACCGAGTGTGAGCGATTAAGCCCTAAACTCTAAACTCTAAACCCTGAACCCTAAACCCTAAACCCTACAGAAAAAAGGAAAAACAAAAACGCACACGCCTTTCTGTCCGTGCCCAGCTTCGCGGCGTGGCGGCCGCCATGGCCGAGGCCCCCTGGCCTCGAGCCACAGCCCTGCTCACACGCCTCGCCCAGGCGGGTTTTATGGTGTTTGAGGGGGCTTGAAGGGGTTTAGGGAAAGTTTAGGGTTTAGGGATTAGGGTTTAGGGTTTAGGGTACGGGGGGACAACCAAGGAAGGAAATCAACTCCCCTAATCGCCCTGAACTTATATTTCCCAGATCGAACCAAGAAACAACCAAGAACACGGATAAGAGCAACCCAGGGGGGAAGGAAAGGGGGAAGGAATCCACACCCTTACCAAACCCTAAGAACCCAGGCACTACTTTTTGAACTTGTGGCTTTCTGTTCAAGCCCATCTTGAGCCAAATACGATTACCGGGTTCATTAACCCTTCCAACTTCCAACACTAACTCCTTTCTACAATACCAATTGCAGCTCCGCACTCCCCCTGTCCTAGGATTTCCTAGGACACATTGGAGATGCAGATCTTTTGGCCAAAAACTGCCATTACGGCAGCAGCCAGCTGCTTGAAATGCAAATTGTGGTTTAACGTCTTCCAGGACGGAATTATAGCACATTGGCTAACCTACTACCCATAGAGAATCTTTTTTCACCTTGATCCTCTCATCACTGAAGACTCCTTGGCCTTCTTCACCACAAACCGTGGTCTTCGCTACGCGAAAAGCTACTGACTCCTACTATCAGGGATTTCCATACCCTTAATAGTAACCACCACATTGTCAGCACATTGGCTGTTCCAGCGCACCGGTCTCCAGAAAGAGAAAAACCATCCCTTCATCCATACCATCCAATCACTTCTTTTTCCGATTGTTGGCAATCTTGAGGTGAAGTTGCAGCAGAATATACTCCAGGTCCGAAATCGTAAGAATAGGATCCTGTATGCCCCTTTGAATTGAGGATACCAATCCTTCTCTCTTTGCGTCCTCAATCGCCTGGCAAGATTGACCCAGCTCTTCATTCGCATTGGCAGACCCTGGTGCCTCCGCATCGGATGGACGATCCTTTTCCTCAGGATCTTGCACCATTACCACCTCTTCTTTTTTGGGACTCTGACTTTTCTCCTTCTTCTTTGTCTTTCCACCGACATTTGACTTTGTGCGCGTCTTCGAGGATTTTTCCACTGCAGAAGCCACCACATTGGATGTTGATCCACCCTTCTCAATGATCGTCGGCATCTTCTTCGGCTTTGGAACCATGAGAGTGTAAGGATCTTCGATAGCTGCAGCTTTCCTCTTCTTTTTTACCTTTTTCTTCTCCTCCTCAACGGCAACCTCCGTCTCCGAAGTCTCAACCACTGCTTTTTCGGCAGGAATATCTTTGCTGGACTCCCCTTCTAGGGACCTCTTTTTCCCTTTTTTGGGATCCTTTTCTTCTCCCAAATTGGCTCGCTCATACCATATCCTCAGGTCATTGACCCATTCTTCCACCTCCGCGAGCGAAACATCATACGACTTCACTACTTCGAGAAGTTCCAGCACTGACAACATTTCAGTGGTCCACGAAACCCATACTTGATCCATTTGGTCAGCATCTCCAGTGAACTTCAGGAGTTTGAACAATGGGTCCGCCTCTGCTCGAGCCAAATCTGGCTTGCCACCGGAGAGAAATGAAATCGCCTCCATCAACAGTTCCGTCATCTTGGTCTCTTCGTCATAAACCATAAAATCCTCCTCATCATCATCGAACTGTTCAGGAGGGATCTCCTTTTCTCCACCATTTGCACCAGACTTTCTCCTTGGACCATCCCTTGGGGGCGTCCTTGGAGACCTTGGCCTCTGTTTTTCCAACGGAACACCATGCTCGAAGACACACCTGTCACCAAATCGACACTTCCCAGACCGAGCAAACTGGACGCACCTCACACCAGTTGCATCATGCGAGAACCCACAATCCTTTCCAGCGAAACATTCTCTCCCTGCCACATAGTATTTGCACCAATATGAATGTAGCACCACATCATCTTCGGAATGGATGAATTTGCAGTCGTCACCAAATTTGCAGCGATCTTTCCCTTTGCCAAACCAATAGCAGAAACCCTTCTTCCTCTTCTCCAAGCGCTCTGCCTCATACCGGTCCATAGGGCGATTGTGCTCTACATGAACATTGCCATGTACCTGGGGACTGCTCCCTTCACCCGACGTGCTATCAGTATTTGGTGCTTGGAGTACAGCTGGAAAACCTGGCCTTGGTCCTACCACCTTCATGATCGGTTTTCCGCCAACTCCTGAGCCATGCTGAGACGATCCAAAAACATTGAACATCTTCATGAAGGCCTTCCTAGCGCCAATCTTCTGCACCCTTTTGATTGGACGTTTCATTGCTCCAACCTTGCATCCAGATGCATTCAAACGACGCAACCTTCTAAACCCAACTCTATGTCCCTTCTTCCAAAGAGCCATAAGAATTTTAGAGGCAGTGACATTCTCCACCTCTACCTTTTCCAATGATCCCTCACTTCCCGGAACAAACCCATCCATCTCTGAAGACCTTTCCATCTTTTTTGACACCACTTCGTCGAGGTAGTCTTCTGAAATCCAGGGAAAGTTCCCCTTAGAGGAAGGATTGTCATCATTGTTTGGTCCTTCACCAGGATATCCTTTGGTGCTGTCAAAGATCTTACCAGTAGTGCGGTCCTGCATAGAGAAATTCGAAGCCACGCGGGAGTACACTGACCACAAGAAAATCCTTGTGTCCGCCAGTCTGGATGACCCACTGGATTTCTCCTCTTCCGGAGAAACTTCTGGCGCTTTGCCCTTCCCTCCAGTGTCACCGCTTGTCTCACCTCCAGCATCTTCAATGGGAATAAGGGATTCATTGTTCCCTTGATCAAGCACCGCATCCTCTAGTCCAAGAACTTCCAGCATCGCTGTCGAAGGATCCACCTCCTCATCCGCATCGTCGTCCATCCTTCTCCAGAGAGCCTCCAATTGGTCCGCACAAGTCGCCGCTTGAAGAAACTCCATCAACCGAGCCCTCCCGCGCTGCCAGAGAAATTCTGAAACCATCACCGACCCTTGTGCTCCCAGATTCAGGAATGGGTGAACCATTTTGGCTACCCTCGCCATAAGTTCAATATGAACTTCCATGCCTGGACTGCGGCTCCAATCATAGGCAATTGCCTCCATAGCAGTACCAAACTTGTCCGTATTCTTGAATTCCCCTTCCAGACCAGGAGACAACAAGGTACCCATCACCGAAAGAGGGTAATTCCCCACCGCCGGCAAGCACGGGTTGTCATGGAACGAATGATGCAGGTCAGTATAATGTCCTTGATCTCTCCTTTGAAAAAGGAGTGTTCCAGTCCCTAGCTGGGCATTCATTTCATCCACTTGAACCATTTCAGCACATATCCTCTGTGCCAGGTGCGCCATTGCTGGCCAGACGGTACGATCGGTCAGACCGCGACGCATAACCCAATCAGTTGTTGGCGACTGGATCAGCGTTCCTGGATCATACACCATAACCATTGCACCGTCTCCCATTGACTGATCAGCATCGTCCTCCAGTGCCAGGTTCTCATCCTGTTCGCTTGCACCCTCGGATGACATGCTAATAACCAAATTTCGATCCATCTTATTGGACCCTTTTTGGCAATCTCTTTGCCCCATTGGCAACTTGCCAACTGCAACCTTCCAATAAATTCGAGTCAGAAGGCCTTTCACCAGCAATTGCTGAAGGTCACTCCTCACCGGACCACCATCCAACATCTTCGCATCATTACCACGGAGATCATTGCTCCCGCCTTCTCCTTCTTTTTGGTCGGTCTCCTCGCCAGAAATCTGTACTGCTCCTTCCGGCGCCGTCTCCTGTCCAGCCACTTCATGCCCAGGAAGAACTTGAGCGCTTTCAGAGACATTCACCTGTCCAGCAGCACCTTGCCCAGGTAAAACCTCATCCGTGGAGCCCACCGCCAGCGAACCAACCATAACTGAACCATCCCTTGTTCTTTTTTGAGACCGTTCAGCTCGACGAGAAGGTTGTGGTAGCGAAAAAACTTGAGAAGTCACTTCTT